AGTCGTCATATACCTTGCTGAGGGTATAGAACCTGACTACTAAGTGGATCCACCAGCCTATGCTAAAAAGACTAAGGAATCATCTAAAAAGTAAGACCATTTTCTACCCATGGTGGCTACATGGTTTATGGGGGCTGTGAGTTGTCTGAACTATCCCCAATATCAATGCTCAATACTACTCCGAAAATATGATACGAGCTCTTATGTTTAGAAAACATACTTCTTTCTGTGATTTGAGATAATTGCTCAAAAACTTAGCTCAAGGCTATCTTGGAAATCAAGGTTTCCTTTTCTTGTTTAAATGTGAAAACATTTTAGACTCTTTGGATTACAGAGCCCCCATAGACTCTATGAAGAAATGAACTTCATTCTTTACTCTTTACTCTTTACTCAACTTTGAACTTTAAGTCTTAAAACAAGTTAAAAGCATTTGTGAAAGACTTCTTGAAAAGACTCCAAGAACTTCCTAGACTTGGCTCTTAACTTTCATTGAATTTGAATTTATGGATTCAAGGTTATTATGAGTCATGTTTCTAGATGATTTCTAGATGTTTAGAAGTCATTTAGAGTAGTTAGAATCAATAGGAAGTGTTAGTACACTTTAAAAGGACTTAAACGGGATAAACGACGAAAAATGGGTGGGGGCAGACGACTCGGGCGCATTACTGGCGCGCCGCACCAGCCCCTAAGTTACTGGGGCTCGTTTCTAGAACACTGCAGGCGCGCCGCCCCAGCCTCCTTGGCGTAGATGGGGCGCGCCATGCCAGACACTCCCCAGGTGAATTTGACGAATTTTTCTTCTCGATTTCAGACCTTAATTCGATTAAATCCAATTCCTTTTCTCAATATCTTCTTAGATTCAGATACCCAAAACATGTACACTAGAATCTAACTCGAATCAACTCTTAACATTGCTAAAGCATCTCAAGAAAATCCATCAATCCCAAATAAGTTCAAGAATGAAAACAATTCAAGAACATCAAATTCTCAATCTTTTTGGACGAAAATCATGCTGAATTAAACATGTTTGGCGCGTGGGTGAACTAACCCAACGCTATGTGATCTCACATACCTCGTAGGATTGAATCCTTGGCGAAATTCACAATCAAACTTGAACATTCTCGACGAATCTTGCCTTTTCTCCTTCTTTCTCCTCTTTTCTCCTTTCTCCAAGCCCTAGCGTAGATTTCCAATTTTCTAAGTTGACCAAATTCTGATTTGACCCCAATTAAACTCCTAAAAAGGGATTAAAATAATTAGGTAAGGAAAAGAGTAAAATACCCTTCCAAAATCCGGTTTTGGACTTTCCTTATTTGAACAACCCAACTTCAAATGGTCATATCTCACGCATACGAACTCGGAATTGAGTAAACTTGGCGGCGTTGGAAAGATTATTCCAAGATCTTTCCTACGCTATCTGGAAACACACCTAACTCATCCTGAGCTAGGAGTTATGGTTGTTTGAAGTTGACCAAAAATCCAACTTAACATACTTAACAAATTTTCCAGATTTTTATATTCTTTCCAAAAATGACTATTTTCACTTTTTAACTTCTTTCTAGTTACGGGGTGTTACAAAATCATTTTCCATCGATTTAATCATTTATCGCTAGAATCATTTTCCATTGGCATTACTATATCCATTTCCCATATACATCGCCGAAACCATTTCCCATTAACATCCTCAATAGGTTTCATCACAGTGTTTCAGAATCAAGGCAAATAGGTATGTTCATACAAATTGACAATTTCCATAATACAAAATCCATAACAACATAATTGTGATACATCATCAATAGTAAGTTAATATAACCACTCAAAACATCCATAACACATCATATATCAATATATCATCAAATTGCCTTTTTATTATTCATTTTTCATCATTAAGATAATTTTGTATGAACATGTAACCACAAATATCAACCCTTCACCAATTCTCATTACTCTCCAACACACACAATAAAGAAATACGAGATTCTATATACTTAACAAGGTCAAGAAGTCTATTTGCCTCAAGAAATCAAACAATCACTTCGGTATTTGAATTTTTCTTTTCCATTGAGTCTGTAATTCAACACAATCTGTTCAAATAGATAATTACGATAAAAAATCAGAACTAACAACACCCATATCAAAGATTTCAGAAATCGAAGCCAAATTGACCTTAAAACTCATTTCCAAAAATGATGGTTAAATCTGGAATTTTATATAAAATAGTCTTACCCAAAAAAATTGAAATTCACCAATGAAAAACATTCCAAAAACAGAGTTGAACTCAATCTTAAATCACCATCTTATCAAAAACCTTAAACCTTACTACACCTTCAAAGTTGGAATCAAAACCAATAACTAATCATTAAAATCATGAAATTAGTGAGTAAAAGAGATGGAAAGTTAATAATCGTTATCCAATTGAAGAATCTCGTAAATACAATTTGAAATCTCCTCAATCTCTTAATATTCAAAAATGGTGAAATGGGGTTGAAACCTCGATTTTGGAAAAACACATACTGTTCACATCTCAAATCCTCATTGCAATCACGACCCCAAGCCACACGATCTCGATGAGTAAGCCAATCAACTCATTTATGTTGACCGCATGCGATTACGACTCGACCTCACGCAGTCTTAATGACCTGGAAACTAATCATATGCCATCGCAACAGGACATAATCCCATGCGATCGCGAGAGAGGGTATCGCGATGAACAAACTAACAGGCACCCGACTCAGCAAACCAGCAATTCACACAAGACATAAAATCCCCAAATGGACCCTTGGGATTCATTCGAAATTCTGAATACACAAACCATATAAGCTACCCAACTAAACTCGATGTTTCAAACTCAATGGAACTATCAAAATACAGATCGAGGTCTCCTTTACCTAAAATTCGTGAAAATCACAATAAACTAACTTAACGCATAAAAGTATCAAATTACCCCTAAAACATCTGAAAAATCAACCAAGACCTCACTTGGACCTAAAATATTCCCCCCGAATCCAATGAAACCCTCGAAAATTTGATCCGAACATCCGAACTCTGAATGTTGACCAAAGTCAACTCAAGGTCTAAATCCATTTAAACTTCCAGCTCAAGGCCTCAATTCACGAAACAACTCTGAATAAAAAAATGACAACATTCCTAGACCAAATTCCACATTTTAGAGCTGATGGAAGTGACAGAATTCTATTTCGAGACTCGAAACTCTGGTTGTTACCAAAAACCACTTTAAACCTTTCAAAACTCAACTTCCAGAAATCACAACATTTAAATCAAATTTCAAAACCTACTTCGCAAACTGGTCAAACATGACTCGGGACAACTATCGGGAGGGGTAAAATGATGCTTTTACAAAAATTTCCAAAAATGACCTTTCCGGATCATTACATCAATCGACTTGAAGGCGACATAAACACAATAGAGAATCATAAACTCAAAAACATAAAACAATTTTTTATCTTTACATAAATATTCAAATATCATCTTTTCCTTTACATTCTTGACTACACTATTTAATTACATCAAAAAGAAAAATAACAACATGAAGTAAAAGAATTATTTACATCACCATGCATTTTCTTCAAACAAAATTAATTCATGTGTCATCTTTAGACATCTACTTGTTTCCTCACAGCAATAGGAATTCTAACAAAATGCTTTCCATCATTCCATGCCAAACTTCCAAAGGTAAATTTACTCATTCTTTGATGAGTAGATGTGATTTTTACCTCAAATGAAATTTTCTTTGTTTTCGAATTGAACTTCACAATATGTGGACTTACTTTAACTACAGTATTTCTCGGAGGTTTAATCACTACTTTGTATATCGCGTTGACATTTCCAACATTCGTAACAGTTCTTTTGATAGTAACTGAATTTTTAAGATTTGGAATAGATATTGAAGGGAGATTTAAATTCAACCTAGATGGTACTTTATTAGGACATATAATGCCTGATGAAGTTGAATTTTTAGTTTTGGAAAAAAGTGTAGTTGCATTTTGCATCTTATCATTACTATATCCTAAACTACAAAGATAATTCAAATAATCATTTTTATCCATATCATAAACTAATCCAGGATCTGTTGCTCCATTTGGATTACAAATTCCACCTCCAAAATCAAATGGATCAGCAATTTTATCTCCTGCTCCTTCTGAATATATTTCAGATTTATATGTGTCCTCATTCCATGCTACACAAATTTTAAAAAAATTATTGATAATGTAAATAAAAAATAACATAGGAAAAAAGGACAAATATAACTTCGAGTTATCGTAAATGGTATGCAGATATCCTCCGTTATACTTTTGGGACATTGGTGTCCCTGCCCTCCAAAAACTAGAACATATATGCCCTTCGCTTTAAGGGAAGACAAAATAGGGACACGTGGCACAATTTTTATCCGTCAATCTGATATTTAATGAATGTCGGGTCAGTGGATAGGATTATGACAAGTGTATGTCTGTTAGTAAAAAGGGTATATATGCTCTAGTTTTTGGACGGCAAGGGCACCAATATCCCAAAAGTATGACGGAGGGTATCTGCATACCATTTACGATAGTTTGGGATATATTTATCCTTTTTCCCAATAACATTATAAGTTAAAATAACTTTCTTGCAAGTAATTTTACACCATTAGGTAAATTGACCTATATAAGTGTTAATGCTGTTAGTAGTTCTGGAGTTTTTCAACACTTCTTTCTAATTACCTGTAGTTACGAGTGCGGATTTGATAGCAGCAGGAGACCAATCAGGATGTGCAACTTTAAGGAGTGCAACAATTCCTGAAACATGAGGAGCTGCCATGGATGTTCCTGACATGAGTTGGAATCCATGGTCTCCTTTCTGAGGACGAACCGCGGCAAGTATATTTACACCAGGAGCTGCAATATCGGGCTACAACGATATTTGTGTAGTCAGAAGTTAATTGTCATTAAAAGAACATGTTTAGCAGTAATTAAGGTGTTATCGTTAATTACTTGATGCTAAAGAGAATTTTCGATGTAGTGTGAGTTTAAGAAAGAAATGACTTTTGAATTTTGCGATCTTAAATTAAAAATGTGATAATGTAGAAAGATGTATATTTACCTTCAAAATTTCTGGGGCAAAGGCATTTGGGCCTCTGGATGAGAACTTAGGCACTTTTAGGACTACTTCTTGGCCCTCAAGTATTTCAGATCGACCCAATTTAATCATAGGATCCTGGTTACTGTTTCAAATTGATTAACAACAAATTAATGTGCACTGATATAAAAAAGTATAATACATAAATATGTCATTTAATTTAACCTTAACTGAAATTTGTCTTCCAACTATGGTTCTGCACAAATAAGCATTTAAACTTATATAGAGTTGAACAAACATACACAACACACATCATACAGCTTGACATTCTATGCTACATTGTATGTGGCGTTCTACATGGATTGTACCACGTAAGACGTGCGTGTCTACTTGTTCAACTTTATACAAATTTAAGCACACTCAAAAGTTGGAAAGTATAGATACCAGTCGTCACCAAGTTAAAGGGATGACATATGATTTTATAAAAATAGAAAGAGTAAGAGAAATATATGCTTACTTTGATTTAGATCGTTGAAAATAGTCATATATTTGATTTCCTTGCTCCAAATCAACATAAACATTTGGTATAGGGATACCAAAAAGTTGATTGTAGTCAGTAATTTCATCAAAAGGGGGAATAGAAACAATGATAGCCAAAACCCCACTAGTCTTTAGATTTATCAAAGACGCAAGTATATCATCTTCTTGTTGAAAGAAAACCAATAGAACTTTTCCTTTCACTTCATTAGCAATAAATTTAACTTGTTCACCCCTACAAATGAAAGATATAAATATTAACAAAGTTATTATGTCATATAACTTGTAAATTTATATTGGATGTACAATATATATATTTCACTTACTTTGTTATATTATGAAAAGTTATCAAAGGACCAAAGATTTGCTCCCTAAAAAGTCCATCACCCTACAAGAAAAGAACAAACTTAATTTAAATTGCCACTAGGAGTTGAACAAGTATACACACGTATCCTACGTGACATAATACATGTAGGATGTAAATTGTCACGTCGGATAAGTGTGTGTACTTGTTTAACTTATGCACATTCAAAATTAGAGGGCGTAGATGACAGCTGACGCTTACTAGTATTGTGTTGTTGTTTCCAAGTGTTAAAGGAGTGACAATGTGTCTATCGGAATTGCTAGCAGCAACAGTTATAACCCATGGAGCAGTATTACTAATTGTGTTAGAGTCAGGTCCACTATTTCCACCAGCAGCAATGACAGATATGCCATGAGATACTGCATGATAAGATCCAATCCCCAAAACACTTTCTTCATTAACTTCAGCAATGTTTATAAAAATATCACCAATAGATGCTGATATTATGTCAACTCCATCTTTTATAGCATCATCAACACCAGCAAGAATATCAGCACCACTACAATATACTGCCATCATTTCTTTCCAACATATCTATTCAAAATATAATTAAATCAAAACAACATATTAGTCTGATGGTATAATGCATAAACGTGCCCTTGCCTAATGATCTGGTATCTACACCCTTCAATTTTGGGTGTATACAAGTAGACACTTACACAATTATATAAGGGAAAAAGGATAAATGTACCCCCGAACTATCGTAATTGGTATGCAGATACCCTCCGTCATACTATTGGGACATTGATGTCCCTGCCGTCTAAAAACTAGAGCATATATGCTCTTCATTCTAACGGAAGACTAAATAGGGACACGTAGCGCAATCTTATCGGTCGATCCGATATTTAATCGGCGGATAAGATTATGACACGTGTATGTCCGTTAGTATAAAGGGTATATATGCTCTAGTTTTTTGACGGCAGGGGCACCAATGTCCCAAAATTATGACAATGGATATCTGCATACCATTTACGATAGTTCAAGGGTATATTTATCCTTTTTCCCATTATATAAAGTTAAATAAGTAGACACATGATGCATCCTAAGTAGCATATAATACACTTAGGATGCCATGCATTTAGGATGCTACGTAGGACTCATGTGTCTACTTATTCAATTTCATGCAAATCTAAGTACTGCCTACTTGTGTATGCACACATAAAGCTGGAGGGCATAGATAATAGCTGGATGCCAAGTTAACAGTCATATTTATGTATTATCCATACAAAAGAACCAAAACAACGTAACATGACAATACATAAATGTGCCCTTGACAACTATGCCCTCCAACTTTGAGTGACGCAATTAGACACTTAAAAGTTGTGTAGAGTTGAATAAGTAAACACACACTTCCTACGAGGCATCCTACGTGTATTATGCCACGTAGGATGTGTGTGTCTACTTGTTCAATTTTATACAAGTTTAAGTGTCTACTTATGCATACACACACATAGTTGGAGTATATAGATATCAGATGAGGTCAAGTTAAAATAAACGCTATAATAATACCTTATAAATAGCTAATCGTGCAAGTGGTGCTCCTCCTCTTATTGTTCCCATGTTAAGACCATAGTATTGTAAATTATTAACATAAGAACCAGCAGCTGTAGAAGCACAATGAGAACCATGTCCACTTGCATCTACTGCTGATAAATTATAAGTTTTATCAATAATACTTTGACTTAGTCCCTTTTCTTCCATAAATCCTTTTATGTACCAACGAGCACCAATTATTTTTTTGTTACAATGTATTGTGGCATTGAAATTTGCTTCAGATTTACAAATTCCTTTCCATCGAGATGGAATTGGACCCATCCCATTATCATTAAAAGCTTCCGATTCTCCCGATATACCTGCATAATATATAAACGTGTCCTTTAACGTCCAGGCACATATAGTTGCGTAAAAAAAAACTAAGTAAGAATAAAATTAAACCTGAATCTAAAACGCCAATAATCATTCCATCACCCTGATTTGTTTTGTTGAGAAGATTGTTGGGAGAATTTCTAGAAAGACCCAAAAAATCCCAACTCCTTGACGTATGAGTCGTATAAAGAGGATTTTTTATAACTCGAACCACGTCAGGTAATTCTGAAATGCAATAAAAACACGTATATCAAGAAAGTTATTTTCTTTTATAAATTTTATGTTGTGTTAGTAGATGAGGTACAAATGCATGATAGTAAATAAATACCTCCAATTTGTTTGGCTTGAGAATTAGTGAGCTTAGCAGCAAATCCAGAAAAACCATGTCTATAACTATACATCATCATTTTTTTGGCTTCTTCCTTACTACATGACGACGATACACATCATGTTACAACGAAAAGGAAGAAGAACTTCAGGTCTACAAGGTGTAAACAGTAGGAAATAGCAGCTGTAAATTGCTATAGAAAATCTGAAAGTGAAGAAGAAGGCTTAAGTTTTCTTGAGTTCAATTTTTTTCACTAGATATTTCATTACATATGGTGTATTTATAGATAAAGTGTGAGAATTACAACCACATAATAAGCAAAATATCTCACACCAAACTATGTACCTATGTGGCTCACTAGCCACCACTCATTTTAAATCAAGACTAACATATCTACTATAAAATATCTCCAACCTAGGAGTTTCTAGACAATTCTTACTTTTCTAACATATCTAATACAAAATATCTCCAACCTAGGAGTTTCTTGACAAATCTTACTTTTCTAACATATCTAATACAAAATATCTCCAACCTAGGAGTTTCTTGACAAATCTTACTTTTCTAACATATCTAATACAAAATATCTCCAACCTAGGAGTTTCTTGACAAATCTTACTTTTCTAACATATCTAATACAAAATATCTCCAACCTAGGAGTTTCTTGACAAATCTTACTTTTCTAACATATCTAATACAAAATATCTCCAACCTAGGAGTTTCTTGACAAATCTTACTTTTCTAACATATCTAATACAAAATATCTTCAATCTAGGAGTTTCTAGACAAATCTTAATTTTCTAACACTCCTCCTTAAGATTTTTCATTGAAACTCCTTGCAACAACCTTTGAAACTCAAACTTCTTAGTGGAAAGAGCCTTGGTCAGAACTTCGGCCTGCTGATCTTCACTGATGCAATGCACCAACTTAACTTCACCATTCTTCTCAGCATCTCTTAAAGAGTGAAACCTTATGTTGATATGCTTTGTTCTTCCATGCTGCCCCGGATTTTCAGCCATCGCAATGGCTGATTTATTGTCCACATAGATCAGTGTTGGGTTTTTTGGCAACAAATTCAATTCCAACAAGATCTTTCTTAACCAAATTGCTTGATTTGTAGCAGATGCAACACCCATATACTCGGCTTCTGCGGAAGATTGTCCTACAATATCTTGCTTCTTTGGGCTCCAAGAAAAAATGCTTGAACCAAACGAAAAACAGTAACCAGAAGTGCTTTTGTAATCATCCAAGCATCCACCCCAATCGCTATATCTGAATAGCCAATAAGAGCTCCATTCTCCACATTTCTATACCAGATTCCATAATTAATCGTCCCTCTAATGTACCTTAACACCCTTTTAGCAGCTCCAAAATGCTTAGTGCTGGGACTTTGCATATATCGAGATAACAAACTCATAGAGAACATTATGTCTAGCCTAGAAGCTGTTAGATACAATAGACTTCCAAATAGACTTCTATAAACTTTTGGATCTGCCCTCTCTTCGTCATCATCCTTCATTAATTTTTCATTCATAACAAGTGGAGTTATAATAGCTTTGCACTTGTCAAGCTTGAACCTTTTTAAAAGATTCAAGGCATACCTCTTTTGGGACAAGAAAATTCCTTCAAAAGATTGAGATATCTCCATTCCGAGGAAAAACTTCATTTCTCCTAGATCGGACATCTCAAAAACATTTAGCATTTCATTTTTAACTTCTTGAACCGCAAGAGGATTTTCACCTATAATCATCAAATCATCGACATAAACTGATATCATAATCAACATCCCATCCGCTTGCCTTTTGAAGTACAAAGTAGGCTCATTTAGGCTTTTGTTGAAGCCTTGAGACAACAAATGAGAATCCAGCCTACTATACCAAGCTCTTGGGGCTTGTTTAAGACCATAGAGAGCCCTTTTAAGCTTGTACACCTTGTCTTCTTCACCTGCAACTGTAAAACCTTCAGGTTGTTCAACATAAATGTCTTCCTTAAGCAATTCGTTGAGAAATGCAGATTTTACATCCAAATGGAAGATTTTCCACTTGTATTGTGCTGTGAGAGCGACTAGAAACCTTACTGCTCATGCCGTGCAACAGGAGCAAACGTTTCTCCAAAGTCCACTCCAGGTTGCTAAGAATAGCCTTTAACTACAAGTCTAGCTTTATACTTGAAGATGGAGCCATCTGGATTGAACTTTGTTCGATAGACCCATTTGATACCGATAACATTCATCTCTTCTGGCCTATCAACCAACTTCCAAGTATCATTTTTATTAATCATGGCAAGTTCCTCAACCATTGCTGAAATCCACACTTTGTGGTTTGTTGCTTCTTCAAATGAGGATGGTTCAATAAGAGCAATATTGCATTGCTCATAAACTTCTGCTAGTGATTTGGTCTTCAAAACAGGAGAGTCTGTAGTCAATTCAACATCTGAATTATTTTTTGTTCCAGCAATAGGACTAGAGGGAGTATCACCTTTTTGCTGATTTGGAGTTACAGCTGAAGTACTCCTACCTTGGTTCTTCACAACAATATGTTGATCCTAATCATAGTGGCTAGACTCATCCACTACAAGATCTCTACTAACAACACCTTCTTACTACTAACATTGTACACTTTGTATCCTTTTGCAACTGTGTTAGAGCCCAACAGAACACACAGTTCTGCCTTGCTATCTAATTTGCCTCTTTTAGCATCAGGAACATGTGCATAGCATACCGAACCAAATACCTTCAAGTGTCTTGCAGATGGCTTGATACCCTTCTATGCTTCAAATGGTGTCATGTCTTGGATTGCTTTAGTTGGTAATCTATTTAGCAAATAGAGACAACGGTATTGACTGCTTCAGCTCAAAAGTATTTAGGCATCTTTTTTTTTCTGCCAACATGCATCTCGCCATCTCCATCACAATTTTGTTCTTCCACACAGAAACCCTGTTCTGTTGTGGAGTGTGGCTGACAATGAATTGTTGTTGGATACCCAAATCTTTACAATACTTGCTGAACTGATACGAAGTATATTCAGTTTCATTATCGGATCTAATATACTTCAATTTACAGCCACTCTCCCTTTCTACCATAGCTTTGAATTCTTTGAAAACAGAAAACACTTGATATTTGCTACTAAGAAAGTAGACCCATGTCATTCGAGTCAGATCATCTACAAAGAGAACAAAATACTTGTTTCCACTCAAAGAAGCCGTCCTCATTGGTCTACATAAATCTGTATGAACCAACTCTAGCTTTTCCTTAGCTCTCCAAAGACTTCCTTTAGGAAAGGATCGTCTATGCATTTTACCAAATTGACATGACTCACAAACATCTCTACACAGGTCAATTTTGGGTACTTCAAGCACCATACCCTTTGATCGCATATACACCAGTGAGCTAAGATTATAATGACCGAACCTTTTGTGCCAAAGCCAAGTATCGCTCAATTCAACATTAAAAAGAGCAAATATCAATAAAATAGCATGAAATTGGAAAGGAATTGTCAATCATGCTAATTTTAGCTACTTCACATCCTTTAGAATCATAAATGACACATTGTTTGTCCTTAAAATTAAGAGAATATTTTTATGAAGCAATTGAGCACAACTTAACAAGTTTTGTCAAATTTGGCACATAAAGAACATCATTAATAATTTTCGTACCTTCGTCAGTAGGAAATTTTACTAACCCTCTACCGCGAGCTTCCACCAATGCGCCATTTCCAAGCTTTACTTTGGTTCTATCAGATCTGTCCAAGGTAACAAACAGAATCATAAATGACACATTGTTTGTCCTTAAAATTAAGAGAATATTTTTTATGAAGCAATTGAGCACAACTTAACAAGTTTTGTCAAATTTGGCACATAAAGAACATCATTAATAATTTTCGTACCTTCGTCAGTAGGAAATTTTTACTAACCCTCTACCGCGAGCTTCCACCAATGCGCCATTTCCAAGCTTTACTTTGGTTCTATCAGATCTGTCCAAGGTAACAAACAGATTTTCATCAATCACCATGTGCCTTGTGCACGCTCTATCAACATACCATTTACATTGGTCAATACGTGATGTGTGTGAGGCCATGCAAACCTCCTCCTCTGATTTTCCAACTTGGTGATCATCTGCGAAATTCACTCGATGGGAAGATTGGCTACTTTGATTTTGCTTTTGCCTACAATACTTCTTAATGTGACCATACTTCTTACAATATCTACATTGAATTGGAGACCTCTTTGAATTCTGCCAATAATTCTTCTCTAAGTGGTTTGTCTTCTTACAAATGCCACAAGGTGGAAATTTTCCTTTTATTGACAAATCACCTTGGTTTCCACCAGATTTTACCTCTCCAGATTTATCCAATCAGACTTTTTTGCTTTCCTTTTGATGTTTGAATTTATGTCTTGCTTGAAAGGCATCTTCTACTGTCCCTTCACTTCTCATAGTGACCCGTTGCTCTTGGACCTGCAATTTGGAGATTAGTTTGGCTATTATAAGAGTAGTCAAGTCACAAGACTCTTTAATAGCTGAGATTTTTTATTCAAACTTGTCTGGAAGGCTGACCAAGATCTTCTCTACAACTTTCTGATCTGAAAAGGTTTCACCAAGTATTCTTATCTGGTTCACAATCTCCATCAGCTTTGAAGAGTATTCTTTCACACTATCTAAGTCTTTCATCTTCAAAAGCTCAAACTCTCTCTTCAATGCTAAGAGTCTAATAGACTTTACTCTACTAATGCCTTCAAACTCCTCCTTTAACTTATCCCAAGCCTCTTTGGCTGTTTCACAAGTCATAATCCTCGTAAATATCACGTCCGTAAGACTTGAATGTATGCAGGTGAGAGCTCCTGGGGATCTAGTCACCAACTCATCATACTTCTTAATTGCATTGAGAGTTGCATTACCTCTCAATGGCTGGACATCAGGTTCTCAAAGCTCAACAACTGGACATCAGGTTCTCAAAGCTCAACAACTTCTCATAAGTTGAGAGCCTTTAGATAAGCCTTCATTTTGATGACATATGTGATAATTCTCTCCGGTAAAAGTCAGAGGACTTGTCGTTGGTTGATTTTCAGGTGTCACGAATTTTTTTC